GGGGTCAGCAATCGCCTGCATGCAGACATCTATGCCCAGGAAGGGTTTTCCAAAACAAAGGACCTGAATTCGGGTGCTTTCTGGGATTTTGGGGTTTAGGGTTTAGATATCTTAGGACCTGAAAATGTACCTTAAGCTAAGATTCGGGTGCTTTCTGGGATTTTGGGCGATGGGTTTAGATATCTTAGGGTTTGTCTCAGGTATTGAAGGTCTCGCAACTAGCTTTTCAGCTTGTTAAGGCCACGTAACTAGATATGTTGAAGGTTCCTTAGCGCTGTTTAGGTGCTCTTTGCAGGTGTCCTTCTCGAGATTTTCAAGGTGCGGTTAGGACCGCCCCTTCGCCCCTGTCATATGGGAGCTGCTTCGGAATTCATCCCCATATAATTATCATATAATCCTCCAAAGGGAGCTCCACGTTTCCTTGATACTCCCCATATGGGGTAGCGCAAAGCCCCTTTGAAGAACTCCATATCCTATTGCAGCAATACTCAAAGGCCCTGCGACGGCTTTGATGTATACAGTCGCAGAGGTGGTTCTCCGTCGAAGACCACGCCGGAACACAGACTCCAAGAGATTAGAGGTCAGGGCTTAGGGTTTTGGATTTGTAGCTATGGTATTTTAGGGTTTGAAGCTTACCCTCACCTAGTGCCATCCGCATTTTCGAGTATTATGAGATATTTTCACGTTATTTGTTCCAACGTGTTCTGTTTTGTGACATACTGTCTTTAGTGGGGAGAGTCACATATTGCGATTGGTGCTTGGCTTATGCTTCTCAATATCTCATAATTTCCTGGCGCGATCTCTTCGAGGAATCTGAGATGTATTCTTCACTATTTTGTCTCGTGCTTTGTCGTGTATCACCAGTACTATGACAGAGGCCATAGAGGGGATTAGAAGTTTGGGGCTGAGGTGATCGCAATTCGGACCGTTGAGTGTTGGGTATGAAAGACTCCACTGCACCTGCCTACTACCGCCTCCCCGAAAGGCCTATAAAAATGAGCGCTGCTGAGCCAGTGTTTGCAGTGTGCATTGGGAGTGGGAGCCAAATTTCAGGGCTTTTCATGCAGATCAGAATGAAGGCCCCTAAGCTCTACATCGATAAGCCCCAAATCCCAGAAGTGCGAATGCTATACTATGCTAGTATATACTATAATCTACTGCAATATAACACAATATGCCATAATATACCAGTATATACTATGATCTACTATCATCTACTATCATCTACTATAATATGCCATGATACACCATCGTATACCATAATATGCTAGAATATATGAGCTATAGTCTAAACTCCTAGTACCCCCCCCTTAATAACCCCTGTAGTAATCCCCTATATAAGCCCCTATAACCCCCTTTAAGGAGTTTAGACTATAGCTCATATGATAATCGACTATAACATCTCATGATAACGACCTCGTCTCCAAGGACACGCATCAGGTTGGCCATCTTGACCTCCCACAGCTGCAAAAAAGGGCCCTTAGGAGCCTACCCTCCCTGGGTTTAAGGGTTTAGGGTTGAGGGTTTAGGGGTTTAGGGTTTAGGGTTTAGGGTTTTAGGGTCTTCAGTTTCCCTGTTTTCATGGGTTCCCCTAGGCCTAATTGAGGGTTTATAGGGTTTAGGGCACTATACTACCCTCCCCCTAGGTTCCTCCCATATGAGGGTTGTTTAGCTTAATTGAAGTTAACTAAGGGGGAACCTAGGGGTGGTAGGGGGTGGGGGGATGGTATAGAGGGGGGGTAGAGGAACTCCTGATGTTTGGTCGGCTTTTCTCAGACAAGTACTCCATGCACAGCCCATTTTAGGCTTGCATGGTAGTTTGGGGGGTGTAGGGTTTAGGGTTCTTGGGACCTGAATTAAGCGCTCTCTCGGGGCAATAATTAACCCCCTACCATTTCTTAACAAGGCTTGAGTTGTCGTAGGGTTTAGGGTTTAGGAGGTTGATACTGCACCTGGTGTAGGGTTTAGGGGACCTTTGCTAGCGTTGAAGGGCTTCGCAACAACTCTCTTTGCAGCCCTCAAGAGAACAACGATGACAAAATAACCATAACAATAGAACCGAAAACCTACACCTGAGATTGAACATACCTACCAACAACACCCCAAATACATATAGAAAGTCGGGGCTTCCCGCCTTTAATTAGCAAAGACTCGGTATTTTATACCTCCGAGAAGTCAGGCAAGAGCAGAACCTAAGGTACCTTGCGTCTGACCCCAAGCAAACAATCTGCAGGAGACCTGGGTTTAGGGTTAGGGTTTGCAGTTTCGGGTTTACGGCCATATCAAGCCTAGCTTAAGATTCTTCGGGCGTTTCAGCTCTTGAGGACCAAGCCTTGGTAATGTCGGTAATGGTCTGCTTGTACTTCTACGCTCCTACTACTGCTGCTACTCCTACTACTCTCAAGCCTTCGCTATGACACCCATCCCCAGACCCCACGCCCGCCTAGCCCATGGAAAACCTTTGGATGAAGGAAACCTATCCGGCAATGTAGAGATTTCACTATTGTGTCATCCTAAGCACTGGAGGACGTGCTCCACGCTAGGCCTGAGCCTGAACCCCAAAACCCTACGCTTTAGCCCCTGAACCCGAAGCCCATAATCCCTAACTTTCACTGAATCATAACCCCCTAAGAAATGAGCCCCAAAACCCCTAATCAATAAACCCAAAATCCTGAACCCTGGAGCATCTCCTCTTCGGGGCCTTCGGGGGCGGTGGCTGCAAGATACCCATCTTAATCTTGTCACGGATCTCCTGGGTTCTCTCCTGACCTTGGTGCATGTGATGTAGGTAAGGGCCGGCACGATTACAGGAGAATTTGAGGGTTTAGGGTAGTCGGAATTCGATCACCTTCTGAACCCCTTCTTTGTAAGTCTAGGACCCGAAACTGCAAGCTTTGCGTGGCACCGGTCCCTGCGCAATAACAGCATGACACATGATTTTATGGGTTGCTAATGTTAGAGTGTAAGTCATCTGGTAAGTTTTCAATGAATACCGACCCCCAAGATAAACCCCAAAATGCTGCAATCTTCATTCGGGGACCCGGAGAAAGGGACCCCTAATTCCTGGAAAATGAAATACATAAAAACCCTCTATTCTACCAGCTTGCATTTTTAGATGGTCTTTTGCGTTTGATTCTCCCTTATCCTTATATTCCCCTAGACCCCTCTTATACCTTATCTGTATATGGATACACCCCTCTATAATCTCCTTAGAAACCCCTATGAATCAATATTATTCGACTTTTTTAAGGTGGGGGCAAGACCCAGGGTCTAGGGTTTAGAGATTCAGGGTTTAGGGGCTATGGATTTTGGATTTGGGGATTTAGGTTTTATGGGTTAGGGCTACCAAGTCTTAGCACTTGGGGTCTAGGGTGGGTTTCAAGCTTTAACTGATTGCACCACTCATAGAGAAGCCTGAAACACGTCTAAAAAAATCAGGGGTTGCAAGCTTGAACGAGCTCTTCCACCTCCACGTCATATTCGTCTCGCGCAGTTCCACACTACCCCGACATTTAATCCTAAAGCCCTCACTGCCCTGCAACTTCCCACTCAGCCCTGAATAAACCCTAAACCTTACGCCCTTAAGCCTCAACAATGGATCTTCAACCCTAGACACCGAACACTGAACCTTAAGATCCGTTACTCTCAGCCTCAACCCCAAGCCCTGAAGCTTAAGTCTTGAACCCTAAACCCCAAACCCTAAACCCTAAGCCCTAAACCCCAAGCCCTGAAGCTTAAGTCTTGAACCCTAAACCCTAAACCCTAAACCCCAAGCCCTGAAGCTTAAGTCTTAAACCCTAAACCCTAAACCCCAAGCCCTGAAGCTTAAGTCTTGAACCTTGGTAGCGTCCAACCCCAATCCTGACACGCCAAGGCCGCCACGCTTCAAACGCCTGAGCTTCTTTCGCTCCTGCATAGTGCAGGGCTGGAATTTTGTACCCATTGGGTAATTTTAGGGGTATGTTGGGGTTACATTGGGATGATGCAAATAAAATGGAAGCTACTATAATGGGGTTATATAGGGTTTAGGGTCTGCAAAGTGCAGGACTGAATTTCTGTTAGGGTTCAGGGCCAATTTGGGATGTAGGGTTTCGGGCTTCGGGTTTAGGATTCCGGTTCAGGCAGAATTTGGACATCGAGAAACACTGGGCTACCAGAATGCTTGCTTTCGGGTTTAGGGTTTAGGGTGAACATCCAGAACCCCGACCTGAACCCGGAATACTCTACTATATAATAGCTTCCATTATCTTTTCCATTCTCCCCTGCGTTACCCCTGTATAACCCCAATCTATACCCTATTAGAATATGGTAGTTCCCATTTTCTTTTCGATTAGTACCGAAGCGCAAACATTTGAGACACACATGTTCCAGAAGCGACAAAGGCTTCAGGGTTAAGCGTCCCATAAGAAGATTTTCCAGTACGCTGCAGAAACGATGAACACGCCGGCTACAAAATCAAATCTTCCCTGAAGACCCTGCGATGATCGAGCCTTGTTATTTTGAACATCACCGAAGCCCAAACCAGAAACCCTAAATTTAAATCCTAGACCTCAAGCCCAAAGCCCACGCAAAGCCCAGCCCCCACAGCCCTAAAGCCAAAATCCAAGAACCTCCTGTGTAATACTGCCTGAAGCTAGCTAGCACTGGAAGACGCAGAGGCGAAGCAACATCGGATATGCACATAGGGCAACTAGCAAGCACATCAAACAGCATCTGCAGATGAATATATCTGGTAACTACAGTTGGTGGAACTAGTCTTGCATGGCGCGCTACCTGAATGTGACCAGCACTCTGCAGGTCTCAAGTACGAAGAGTTACCAGCAGATGCATCCTATCAGCCACATGGTGTCCCGCTCTGCACTTCCATGTGTGGGGAAACCGCTTGCGTGCAAGCTCAGATGGATTGGAACTCAGAGTGCAAGGCATCAGACGCACGCGAGAGCAGATTTGGGGATTTTTAGCTTGGGAGCATGAAACCCTCAGAACCACGCAGACTTTTCTGAAACGATATAGGCAGACCTCCTCCATACAATGTCAATGGCAGCAGCCATGGAGACCCCGAGGCATGCACCGCCAGCAGTGTCACTCGGCCAATGGGCATCAGCCAGCACACGCAGAGATCCCATGACAATCCAGGACACTGCGGCAGCTGCCCACCAGGTGGCAGCTGAAGCTTCGCGAGGGGCCTCTGAATACGTTGCACGCCCTAGCTCCCCGCAACTGCTAGAATTCTTGTCCTAGGAACTCACGGGTCATTCTTGCCATTGCATTACCTTTGTTCGTACGCTCTATCCTCCTGATGCTCCTCCTACTCAGTCTGACATTGATGACCCCATCTGCTACTTCTCTTGCCACTGGTACTTACTGCTACTGCTACTGGACACAGCAACTGCAATTGATACTGTTCAACATATCATTCCTCGCCTTAATACTCAAACCCCCGCCCATCCTAACACGCAATATTCCCATGGCGGCATGCATAATTTTATAATGTCTCGGGAATATTTGAGGGGGCAGCAATGCTTCCTAGGCAACACCCACATAACCCAAGTTTCCATTTCATGCTGCATGTTCTCTCAATTCGGTTCGGCAATTATGGCAACTTCAAACCTAAACCCTAAATCCTCAATAGTAGCTTCCGTCTTATGTCCCTGTGATTTTCCGTTTGATTCCCACCATTGTTGCTAGATACCCCAATATACCCAAGTTATAAATAACTCCAACATACCCTAAACCCTAAATCCACCCTTGACCCTAAACCTGTCTTGTACGCCCCACACTTTCAATTTGCTAGATTGCCGTTCAGGAACTAAAATTCAATTACTATACCAAGGAAACCCTATCATTTACTATATACCCACACTACGGTAACTTAATCCCTGAACCCTAAACCCTACATACCCATATTATGAGCACTCAACCCCTAACAGCAACCCAGCTTTCAACCCTAAACCCTAAACCCTTAAACCCTTAAACCCTAAAGCCTAAACCCTCAACCCTAAACCTAGAAGCCTGCTTCGAAGACCTCTCAAGTCTGGGAAGCAAAACACAGAGAACCAATGCCACGCAGAAGGCAAACCTTGCCTTGGCTCTTAGAAGCCTTGTGGGGATTTTTTGGGGCTTAGGGTTTTTAGGGTTTAGGGTTGAGGGTTTCAGGGTTTAGGGTTTAGGGTTTAGGATTTCGGGTTTAGGGTTTAGGGTGTTTTGGGTTCAGGGTTTAGAGTGTTTTGGATTTGTGGTTCAAGGCTTAGGGCTTGGGGTTTAGGGTCTAGTGGCGCTGCAAGAAGACTGAGGATTAGCCCAGAATTGGCTTTCATCAATCATTGGATGGCATGACGAAAGAATCCACAAAAGTCGGCCAAAAAGCAAACCCAGTGCTGCAGGCAGTCTATGCGTGAAATATCGGGAGGAATGGCTGTACCTGGCTCCAATTTGTATTTTGTGACCGTGAACACGCTAGACTTTGATAAAGAACACACGGTTTCCACGGGCTGCTCTACCTGCAATCTTTGAAGTCTAGCTAACTCGATGGGCGCGTAGGTTACAAAAACAAAAATCCTTCTCTATCCCCCCAAAGTCGCGGTGTGCGCAGACGGATAAGAGAAGTCCGTCAGAAGCTCAGATGGTCTTTGCCTGTGGAAGATCTCCTTCAACATGCGCTGCAGGAATTTGATGCCCTCGAGACCTGGCTGTGTCTGACAAAAAAGGGTGTCTGTGGCTTGGGGTTGAAGGCTCAGGAAGGGACTTCAATTTTGGTGAAACCCCTATGGGCAAAGGCCATACTTGAAAGAGTCATGTAGACCTAAGTTCGTTTAAAGCGCTAGACTCTAAATCCTGTCCCAGACACAAAAACATGCACCACTCGCTACACAATCATGGAGCCCGATGTGGGTCCAGTTTAGGGGGATGGCAGTCTTTACCGGGACCTTTTAGAGTTCCATGCTAGATTCGAGAATATCAGGCCCATGATACCTACTCATCCTCCTCTAGCAGCCACTTACGATCAATCAGGCAAGCTTAGGAATCGAAAGCATTTTCTAACTGCTCTCCAGAAGCCCCTTCATGCGGAATTCAGACTGCAGCTCGCGACACGCTGACACGGCAAAATCCACAATCCTCATGCCTTGCATAATCCTGGCCTAACCCCTTCCCCAGGTACCATGCTTAGGAAGTTGGGGATAAGATCCGGAAATCTGGAGCCCCATGTGCTTATCTTACATCACAAAACCAAAGATGGGCAGAAAAAGAAAACACATGGACAAAGAAAAAACAGCAGGCACACGCACACGCACTTCGTATAGTCATAATGAGAGACCTCAAACCCGGGAACCTCGAGAACATGAAGCACGTTTTGCTGTTGACACGCTAGGTTGGCCCCTAGAACTCATTGAAAAATATTGGTATATATGGTCCCCTGTTAAAGCAGTTAGGGAAAATATTAAATATCCCAGGGGCCTACCCAGCACGCCCCCCAGCCTGAGGGTGTCGACAAGATCAATGGCAAGCCACCTTCGCCGCGAGTACTCAGCCTGGCTTCATTAGGGGTTGAGGGTTTAGGTTTTAGGTTTTAGGGTTTAGGGTTTAAGTTTTAGGTTTTAGGGTTTAGGGTTAGGGTTTACTCCCCTCCCGTAACAATAAAGCTTCCCAAAATGGGGTCCTATAGGCGTATATAGGGGAGCGAAAAAGAAATCCAAGCTAATGTAGTATAAGGGAACCTTACCCTAGACTGGTTATATGATTCTATACCATATTCTTGTCTCGTTCTTGTATACTGTATAAGGTTAACATATGAACCTACACCGCAAAAAAGAACCAAAATGTTTACCATGCATCCGGGTGAAGGCCTTCTGGCGGCTACAATCTAAACTCCGTGAAGGTGGTTTCTATAGAGCATTCTATAGGGTTTTGTGACTATAGCTCATATTGCGCTAAGTACTACCGAGGCAAGAACCATGTCATGGTAGTTGCCACAAAGAGGGGGGCCCCAGTATAAACCCCAAAATTCTAGAATCCTGACTACACGGTCTCGCAATAAGGTACCCCTAATTTGAGAAACCCTCCAATCCCCATTATCCCTTTTATACCACCACTTTCCGTTTCATTTTCCACATTTTCCATCTGATTTTCCAGTATTGGGAAGTAATATTTGTATTTCCTAACAGCAGCCTGGAAGCAGGATCAGGGTTGATAGACCGGCCAGAAGCCAGGCTAGCCTTGGAATTCAGTTCTGCGGCAGGGTTTAGGGGGTTTAGGGGGTGTAGGGGGTTTAGGAGGTTTAGGGGGTTTAGGGTTCTTCGGTTTTGGGGTTTAGGGTTTAGGGTTTAGTTTATCAAGGGTCAGAAGCTGTGTGCGAAGCTTTTCTAGTGGATAAGACGGGGGGTGTGACTGGAAGAAACGACGATGCAACGACGATGCGACGACGACGCGACGACAATGCGACGACAATGCGACGACGATGTGGCGACGATGTGACGACGAGAAGACGACGACGCGACGACGACGCCAAGACGACGCGACGACGACACGACGACGACGCGGCGACGATACGACGAGAACACGACATCGTCGTCGCGCCGTCGTTGCAATATCGTCGCGCCGTCGTCGCATCGTCGTCACGCAGTCGTCGCGCCGTCGTCGCGCCGTCGTCGCGCGGTCGTCGCGCCGTCGTCGCGCCGTCGTCACGCCGTCGTCGCGTCGTCGTGGCGTCGTCGCCGCGTCGTTGTGGCGTCGTCATCGTGTCGTTGTCACGTCGTGGTCGGGTCGTCGTCGCGTCGTCGTTGCATCATCGTCATGTCGTCGTCACCTCGCTGTCTGGTCGTCGTCGCGCACGTCTTTTGCATTCGTCGCATTTTGAAGTCTCTACTTGTGTACCGCTCTTGGCCCTTGATAAGGTTTAGTGTTTTTTTTTGTTTTGCGGTTTAGGGGTTTAGAGTTTTGGGTTTTGGGTTTAGGGGTTTAGGGTTTAAGGGTTGTAGGGTTCGGTCTAGGGCTTTTAGGTTTGGGCTCCGGGGACTTAGCAACCTGCGGGGGCTCCTCAGAATCAGGGCTGCCCGGATGAATACCGTTTTCTAGAATCTCGGGACCCCCGTGTTGACGGATAGCCAACTAACTCATAGTTTCCATTTTCTTTTCCACTTTCCCAAAGTAACTCCTATATAAACCCCATTGTACTATAGTACTCTCCATTTTCTTTTCCATTATCCAAATATCCCCCCCAAAACCCCCATATATCCCCATATATCTGCCATATATCCCTGTAACACCACTGCATCTACGAGTTGGAATGCGGAGATTCCGAGGATTCAGGATTACAGGTTCAGTTGCTTGAGGATTTAAGACTACTGGAGAGTCAAACGGACAAAGACATGGAAATGAAATGGAACATACTATTCAGGGTTTAGGGTCAGTGTTCAGGATTTCTAGGCATTCTGCAAGCAACTTCCGAGCTATGATGCTGGGTTCGCAAAGTTCTCCTGTGTCCCTCTAGAACAGGATAACTGCAAAAGGTTTCGCCATTCATGGTTTGGTGCGTGCTTTTGGAAGCTTTTGGTTTGGAGAAACCCTAAACCCTAAACCCTGAGCCCCAGAACTTGGCTCGGCAGTGCCCTGTACAAGCAACCTAGTCTGGACATAGCCCCTCCGTAAACCCTGCATAAGTTCTGTATGAGGCGATGTGTTAGGTTGACAAAGTTATGTATGGCTCTTTTGGGGGTCCCCATTATACTACGGCCCCCCTATAACCTAATACGGTGTACAAAGAAGGACACCAAGATTTTGACAACCTACTTCGTAACTCTTGCGGGTGTCCCTGCACATTGCCTGTGTAAGTAGCAGCTGCCCGAAGTCATCCAAGCGGTTTGACACAGCAGCAAAAAATCTGTGGTCCTGCGGGTCATCAAGGATGGGGCTGGGGTTTGATCAGGCAACATCCAAAAGGCCCTGAACCCGAAACCCTTTGAACCCTTAAAATTTGAAACCCTAAGCCCTTTAAACCCCAAACCCTAAGCCCTAGTCAAGTACATGCCTCCTTAAGAATGAGGAACAAAACCGGACTCCAGACCCTAAACCCTAAACTTACTGGTGGTTGGTAGTGAATAAGGGAATTTCATCCCTGCATAATCCCTATATAATATGTGGGGTTCTATAGGGATTATATAGTGAAAATGTATTCCTTTATTCCCTGCTAACCCTAAACCCTTAACCCTAAACCCGTAATGGTAGTCTCCATCTTCTTTTCCAATATCCCTATATAACCCTGTATGATACCCCTATATTCCTCTCATTTATTCCCTACTAACAAGCAGTAGGTAAACCACACATGTTGGAGCTTTCAGCGGACGTGTCCAAGCAGTCCTCTGGCGACAGCGCAGCGATCAAGAACTGGTGAACGTAACCATCCTTAAGGATTAGGGTTTAGGGATTAGGGTTTAGGGATTACGGTTTACGGTTAGCTGTTGTTCGAGGCTTGGCTCACAAATTTTAACCTTCAGTGCCTAGAAAACTAAGCTTGCAGATCGGTGCTACCAAACCACTTAGCTCCAAAAATGTTAGAAATGTGGCTTTGGCCTTAAGGAAAAATTCAGAGCATGTAATACAGTGCTGGGAAGCATCTACGTCTGTGATCAGCGACCCTTCTGGGCCGGTGGTGGATCCCAGCAAGGCAACTGCCAGCACGCATGCAACCAGGAGTTGCCTGGGCAATGACAAATATTACATCATACTGACCACAACCACTGCCGACTCTGCACCCACCACCACCACCACCACCACCACCACCACCACAACAACCACAGCCACAGCCACAGCCACAGCCACAGCCACAGCCACAGCCAGAGCCACAGCCACAGCCACCACCACCACCACCACCACCACCACCACCACTTCTTCTTCTTCCACCTCAAGAACGAAACGCCATGAAAGCAGCATCACAAATGAAGGTGAGAATGAGAAGCAGCCACCGGGGTTTTGGAAGACCCTACAAGAAAACTCAATCCATAAGAATCCTGCATCGTTTCAAAGCGTGTCAAAACTAAACGCACACGATTTTGCGAAACTGTCCTGGTTGCACGGAAGGTGAAATTTCCAATTGGCCATCAGAGCTCTGCTGCTTGCGGTACTGGCAACTGCAGTGACCTGTATAGCCTGGGCAGCTGCCAGCATTAGAGTGTGTTTAACCTGTAACAAAAATGCCTCACCCCAATGCACGGCTGCCACAAAATGCATACCTTCCAGAATGTCTGTGCATTCCCCATATTTTCAGCAATGCGGTTCCAAATCTGTAGGAAAGCACACCCCAAACGGAGAGCATCTTTTGGGGGGTCTCTCCAGATAATGGTACCCCAGGGATATTTGAGGAGTGAAGGGAGACTGCGGGCCAACAACAATTAAAGCTTGGGTACTGCCCCCCCCCTCAGTAACAGTTGGATAATAAATATAATATGGCTATATATAGCCCTTAATATGACACCTAAACAATTGAAGTGGTTTTTTTTTGCT